GTGCAGCCAGAGTGCTCCTTGGAGGCCAAGATGGCTAAACTTCGTCTCTCATACTTTGGACATATTGTCAGGAGGGAACAGTAGCTAGAGAAAGATGTCATCCTGGGTAAGATGGAGGGTCAGAGAAACAGAGAAAGACCCCCAACGAGATGGATCAGCCAGGTGGGATCATTGATGGCATCAAGTGATGCAGCAGTAGTGAGGTTGGCCCACGATCGGACATTGTTTCGTTCTGCTGTACATGGGGTCGCTATGAGTCGGTTCCAACTCGATGGCACCTGTCAACAACAACAACAACCATTGTAAAATAGACACTTGACGGGAGGAGAAAGGAATAGCCAGAAACATCACTACAAAAAGCTTGTAAGTCTGTCTTCAGCCTACAACTGATTGGCATACCTTAAAGGGGGCCAGAATTTGCTCCATTTAAGAGGCTTTCTGTGGAGCCTTTACATTGCATAAGACCATAGGTGAAATCCAGAACCCCATCCAGAATTGTTTGAGCTAGGAATTTTCCACTGGAAAGGACGAGTAGACCAGCCTGGAGTGGCTAGAAGAACAGGAGATACTTCGTGAAAGAAAGACTGGCAGGAAAAATCCGAAACAAAAATGGCAAGGTGATTGATTACTACAACAATAAGTAAGCTCTTTGCCCAGGAGCCATCAAGGCAAGTGTTAGGAACCCCTCAAAGCAAACCCACTTCCAAGACTAAGACTCAAGGGGAATACATGTGCAGGCAGGTGGTCTGGCTGGTGACCACATTGATCACCGATAAGGGGAAGAGGGGGAAAATACAACAATGAAGTTTTGAGCTAAGTCTGACCACATTCAATAGACCCTTGTGAATCTGGGTGGAGACCTGGATGGCTAGCAGTACGGCAAGACCCGGGGACTTCTGGGTGCAGAGGCAGTGACATGGTCACAGAGGACTAGAGCAGAGAATGAAGAGTCCAGCTGATATGAAGTGAGGGGAGATGCACAAGAACACCCATACTTGCAGATAGTACCCACTCGACCTGGCTTCGATGGCTGGATAATCAGAACTTGACTAGAAGAAGAAAGAAGAGGGAAAGAAAAAAAAGAAAAAGAGTGAACGAGTAAACTGCTGCAATTTGATAATCTTTACCTATACTTATAGATGTAGTAGTTCCAAAAAAGGAACAAATCTTTACAGCGAGGATCACTCCCACCCCCTCAGTACACAGGGTTGACAGGGATGGACAACTTAGACATTGGCTACCCAAAAGGGGGGGTGGGCTATAAAAGCAAGAAGTGACTGGCTTACAAGCTTTCAAGAGGGAGTCTGGTTCCAGATGGGGCAGTGGAAGGTAGAATCTCCACTGAATGATTTCCAATGTGTTGGGACTGGGCTGGCAAAAGGAAATGGGGATAAGACTTTTGTCATACAATAGTGAATAATTGTCATCAGATCTGACTGTGAGGGCAGGAAATATAGATTTTTTTTTTTTTGACAAAAAGAGGGGGAGTGATTGATTTTACAGCCCAGGAGCAGAGGTCCCTGGGACCATCAAGGAGAAGACTGGGAGCGGGACCCTAGCTAGAGAGGCAGCGATACCAGGGATGGAGACAGAGATGATGATGTGGATAGATGGAGTGGCTGGGGACACTGGACTCAGGGAGAGAGAGGGGCTGTGTGCTGATGGCCGGGGGTGGGCTTGTGGGTGTACCCTTGGGTTATTTGATGATGCATGGAGGGGATTGTAATCATTACAATGAAGCGAAATATGATAGGATGAATATAAAACTGATATTCTTCCATGTAATCCTCACAATAAAAACTTATTGAAAAAAAAAAATATATATATATATGAATGAGTTGGGATAGTGGTAGCCACTCATTCCCCATTATCCTTTTCTCACCAAACTGGATTCAGTGATGCATGTTGTATGATCAGGGTATGTTTTGAAATTTGATTGAATTCTGAATACCTCTTCAGCATCCTTCTTTAGACTGTGATGGCTGGGGTGACATCTCAGCCAGTATCATCTATTCTAAAGGCTGTTGTTATTAAGTGCCACTGAGTTGGTTCTGATTAATAGCGACCATGAATAGCGTTTCTAAGGAGCAGTTGGTGGGTTTGAACCACCAACCTTGTAGTTAGTAGTCCAATGCTTATCCTACAGCACAACACCAGGACTCCATTCTAAAAGCTAGAGGGAACCAAGTCTTACAGATGTCACTCAGAATTTCATTCTTTCTACTTCAGATCCATGACAAAGAGGAGGAAGAGTTCAATGAGAGAAGTGAAAATGATTCTGGTATCAATGAGGAACCTCTACTCACAGCAGATCAGGTACAAGTATCTCTCTAGAATTTTCATTGGGGCTTATCTTTCTGGTGGAGAAAATTTTTAGAGAATTTATTTACCACATGTTTTAAGGCATAAGAAAGACACATGACCTTGTAGTGACTGTGTCTATAATGAAGAGTGGATTTCATTTCTCTTATGCCTCAGCTTCCAGTTGCTAGAATGTGACTGCAGTGAATCTTAGCACAGTTTCTGACAATCGGGCGTCTTTGAGAACAGCTCCACCACCTGAGAGTTTCTTCTTGTAATTCATTGACTTGAAGATACCTAAGCAAGGAAGCTTCCACAAACAGAAGCGGCAGATGAAGCTTTTGTATTATTTTTGTATTCATAGAACACTGACCATTTTGATCCATCTGTTTCTCTTAGGAAAAAATGTATAGTGCTTCACATTTGATTGAGTTAATCATACTTTGGTTTTAATAATTTATTATTTAGAGAGGATATTGTTGATTCCCTAGATACCTTATTCAACATTTTAGTCAACAAATATTTGCTGTTGTCCAGTGCCATCAGTGTTGTTGGTTCTGACCCATAGTGACCCTGAATAGGGTTTCCGAGGAGTGACTTGTGAGTTTGAACCACCGACCTTGCGGTTCAAATGGCTAGTGCATTAACCCGCAGCACCACACCAGGACTCCAACAAATATTTATGGAGTGTTTGTTTTGTACAAGACCTTATATAAAGTTTCTAAAAATTGCTCTGACAAAACTCCTTTGGGAGCCTTTAGTGCCAGAAAGTGCTTTCCAGAAGGGAGAATTCTGCCATATCTGTCTCTTACCTAATTCATTCAATAAATTCCTGGTGTGGTGCTACAGCATCAGCATTGGACTTTGAACCCCAAGGCCAGTGATTCAAGCTCACCAGCTGCTCCTTGGAAACCCAATACAGAGTTGCTATGAGTTGGAACCTATCCACAGAACTTAACAATAATAACAAGAGGTTGAAGGGAAAGATACACACACATACACACACACACACACAGACACACATATATGTATATATATATGTATATACATGTATATATGTATATATATGTATATATGTATATATAATAGGTGCTAATAATATTCTTGTGAATTGTAGAAGAAAATAAAACCCAAAAACCGTACCTATTGTCATCACATTGATTCTGACTCATAGCAACTGCTCTATAGGGTTTTATAAGACTGTAATCTTTACAGAAGCACAGGGACACATCTTTTTCTTGTAGAGTGACTGGTTAAAGATTGACCTTTTGATTAGTAGCTGAGCACTTAACCATTACACCACCAGGACTCTTTTTGAGGGAAATGTTGTTAAGTTCTGAATCATAGTGACTCTGTATGGGGTTTCCAAGGAGCAGCTGGTGAGCTTGAATCACCAAGCTTTTGGTTCAAAATGCCCTTGTGGTCCAGTACTTATCCTACAATGCCACACCAGGATTCCTTTGAGGGAAACAGAACCCCAGAAATTTAAAAATAATTACTCTGAGAGAGCAAGACTCAACTTTAAAATTGTAAAGGAGTATTGTGTCATTTGACTGAATGTTATAAAATGTTTTCTAGTCAAAGTCTAGGTGTCCCATAAATTTGTGACTAGACGTAGCAAGACTCAGAAATAAAAAATAGGAGTTATTCTAAAGGAAAAGATCCTAAACCCTGTTATCTACAAATTATGTCCAAATGAACATGAAGAAATTCACTTCAAAGTCTACAGTCCTGAGCCTGAATTCATCACAGCATAGAAAACAGACAAATGCAGCAATGTATTTTTGCATCCAAACTCTTCTACAGATTCACTTTCAGAAGTAGCTTTTGCTTATTGCATTTTCTTTCTCTGTGAACAACTAATGTCCCCTTATCCCTTTTGGGAGGATCCCTGGTGCTATATTGGATTAAGCATTGTGCTGCTAACCACAGGGTTGGCAGTTCAAACAAACCAATTGCTCTACAAGAGAAAGATGAGGCTTTCTGCTCCTATAAAGAGTTTACAGCCTTCTGGAACAGTTCTATTCTGCCCTATACGATTGCTATGTGTTGTAATCGAATTTATGACAGTGGGTTATATTTATGTTCCACTTTTTGGGAGATGGTATTTATGTCCTGCATTTCTAGGAGCTGCCCATTATCAATCAGCTAGATTAGAACTGTGGTGCTAATCTATTTTTCTGCTCTCAAGACCTACCTATACCTTTATACTTTTGCTATTTTTTATTCTCATTTCCTGCTGTGCAGTTTCAATTTCTTTCTAGGTCAATTCTGGGAAAATAGCTTTTTTCCTCTATGTAAAAAGATTTCCTCATTTCAACTTGTCTTGGAAACACTTTGTTTTGTCAGTCATATGTATTGCAACAATCAATGAACTGGATTTTGTGTTAAAGTTGGATGGATAAAGTATTTTCCCACTTAGAGATAAAGTGCTCAACAAATTGAAGTAAACAGTCCTTTCCAGGCAGCTTTGCTTTGTTTCCTGAAAGAGCAGCATGTTTCCAATAAAGCTCTCATCTAAATGGAGTTCTTGAAAGAGGTTCTACACCAGAGTGCTTTATATTAAAGAATGAATATATGTAAACATTATTCAATATTTATTAAGTAACCATATTGCTTTAATAATTTTATGGACATAAAATTAGAAGCATCCTTAACTGACCAAAATTCAAACCAGAATGTCCCTCTAGCAGAGAACAGAATTAGTCCTCTTTTGTGTGCCTTCTTTAGGTAATTGAGGAGATTGAGGAAATGATGCAGAACTCCCCAGACCCTGAGGAGGAAAAGGAGGTTCTGAAAGAAGAGGATGGGAGAGAAACCTCCTCCCAGGCAGACTCGGTGCTCCTGCAGGAAATGCAGGCCTTGACCCAGACCTTCAACAACAACTGGGCCTATGAAGGTGAGGAGCCCAGTGGTGGGCGTGTGGGTATGAAGTACCCACACTGGGTGCCACCTTACATGAACCTAACAGAACCTCCATAATACTGCATCATAAGATTCAGAGCAAAAGCTTGCAAATCTAGGTAGTCAGCAACACCTTCCTTACTTGATTTCAGGAAATAAGCACTTTTGAAAAATAAAAAAATACAACTGAGCAAAATTGTAAAAATGAACCCAAGAACAGGACAAAAGCAGAATAGTAGTAGAAACTGAAACTACTTCTCAATAGCAATGGATGATGATGCTTCCATAAAATTAAGGGCAAAAGAACTACAAAAGGAATTCATTGTAGTTCATTACTTCAGAGTGCTTACTGTTCTAAGACTTTATATGTATGATTTCACTTAATTTCATACCAACCACATTAAACCAAACTTGTTAGTATCAAATCAGTTCCAACTCATGATGACCTCATGAATTAAAGAGTTAAAATGCTCCATAGAAGCAGACTTCCAGGACTTTCTTTCACCGTGCTTCTGGGTGGGTTCTAACCACCAGTCTTCAGGTTAATATTCAAGTGCAAACTGTTTGCACCACAAAGGGACCTGTTCCAACACCACTTGGGTTGAGTCCAAGGTCATACATTGTGGAACCAAAAGTTGAACCCAGGTAGGTGAACTCCAGAGTTCACACTCCTAATCACTACATGGTAGTGACTCTTGGACACAAGTTTATGGTAATTATGATCAGATAAAGAACGCCCTGGCTGAAGTGTGAAATGAAAAAAAAAAAGTAACACACCTAAGACAAAACTGAGTATCAGATTCATCAGTCTGTAGGGGTAATGCTCCAGGAGGAAGAGCTCCATTTATGGAGTCTGAGAGATTTTGAAACAATGGAGAGAGAAGGTAGGTCAGTCAGGGTGTAGAGTCCAAGAAAGGGTTCAAACCAGCTGTTATTTGAGTCTATCATGACTGATGCAAGCATATGTGTGGCAGAGTAGAACTATTCTCCACAGGGTTTTCAATAACTGATTTTTTGGAAGTAGAGTGCCAGATCTTTCTTCCAATGTACCTCTGGATGGACTCAAACTTTCAACCATATGGCTAGCAGCTGAGTGTGTTAACCATGTTCACTATCCAGGAACTCCTAAACAATAGAGGCAGGATCTGTTGAGCTGTGCCCTGAAAGTAAACTTCTGTAATGCTGAGGAGTATGAAGACAGGCAGCAGAAGGGCTCTAGTCAGGTGATGGGATGGGTCTGGCTGAGGTGCTGCATTCATAGCAGGCTCAATTGTACCTTTCTCAGCCACACAAAGGACCCAAACATAGATGCACTCAATAAAAGATTCATGAAAACAGCTGAAATGTGGAGTGAAATGGCAAAAACAGGAGGAGGATTGCTCCAAAGAGTCAAATACAGGGGAGAGTTGAACCAAGTCAGAAAATATCCAGGCCCAACAGAAGGAAAATTGATGCTGTGATAATAGCAAAAGAAACCATTAGAAAAGGACACAGTTGAAAATATACACACACACCGATCTATTCTAAAAGAAGACGTCTCAGGGGACAAGAAGTTAAAGTAACTATTTCCAATGATGTCAGGCTCCCTTCTCTTTCTGCAAGTAGCAGAACACCCTGTGCTAACTAGTTACCCACCCACCCACTGACGCAACAACACTTAGTGATCCTGTGTAAGGTTTCTGAGGCAGTAAATCTTTGACAGCAGTTAGGTCTCATTTTAAATACATATTGCCATCTTCCATAGTCCACATTTTGTTGAACATGACAAAGAACTATAGGCATAAAGAAGGCTCATATCTGTTTTCTTGTTTTGTTATTGTGAAAATACATAGAGCTCAGCCTTTGGCCACTTAATGATTTCATGTGTATGATTTAGTGACGTCAATCAGTGTGCAGCCATCACCAATATCAGTTGGCCAGAATTCTCACCCTCATAAACAGAAATGTGAGGCTACTAAACACACTCTGCTTATTTTGCTGTCAGAGGTATCTTGATCAGGTCTTGGGGATTAAACACCACCTCTCCATTCTCTTCAACAAAGAAGCCAAAAACCTCCTCTTGATGTTTTTTCTTAAATCTTGACCCATTACACAGGGGGAGTATTATGGAGATGGAAGGGAAAGCAGGAAGACAAAACAAAGCGTCAAAAATCCACGTGTCTCTGCATCCCGTTTTGTGGGCCAGCCCACAGGCTTCTTTGGGATCTGTGTCTTCTTCCTCCTTAGTTGCCTGACAGTGATTCTCTCTTCTGCAGAAAACATACTGGTGGCCCCTTCTTCTTAGCATGCCCCTAAATTGTGAAGGTCTCTACTGGACCTTAGAGAGTTAGAAGGGGTCTCTCCTTAGGAGACAGTCCTGGGAGCCTCTAGTGGGATCTGACTTGGCTGCAAGGGCTGCCTGCAGAATGCTTTCCTCCTACAGGACTGAGGTACATGTCAGGATCAGAGCTGACTGAGCTGCTGGATCAGGTGGAGGGGACCATCCGCGACCTCTCTGAGGAGCTGGTGCAACAGCTGGCCCACCGGGATGAGCTGGAGTTTGAGAAGGAAGTGAAGAACTCCTTCATCACTGTGCTTATTGAGGTTCAGAACAAGCAGAAGGAGCAGCGAGAGCTAATGAAAAAGAGGCGGAAAGAGAAGGGTCTGAGCTTGCAGAATAGCCGAATAGAGAAGGGAAGCCAGATGCCTCTCAAGGTATGTGAAAAGCCCAGCTGGGGATTATGTGTGTCCAGCCCTCTGCCTCAGCTGTTCCAGATCCCAACATAACCCTTTCATAGACTCATTATAAACAAACATTTCCTGAGCAGCGACTGTGAGACGGTGGGATCACAAAATTGGAGAAGGTATTACCTTATTTCTCCACGTGCTAACAAGATTCATAGTCTAACTAGGGCATGTGTCCTCTGTAGGTAAGACTGAAGGTAAGGTGAAGGTCTTTAATCCAGTGAAGGTGTACTTTGGGATTTTGGGTCAGGATTTTTGCTGTGGGCATAGTTAATGGTGCGGACTTATCTCTTTAGGGATATATAGAACATTTCAGGGATTAAAATTATCAGATGCCTTGTTACACCAACAGGATTCTGCAAACCAGTGAAGCTCATCAGAATCAGCTAAGTAGCTTTAACCTTTGTTGTTGCTAGTTGTAATTGAATTGGTACTAACTTATAGCAACCCTACTTATAACAGAATGAGACACTGCCTGGTCCTGGGCCAACCTCACAATAATTGCATTTGAGTCCATTGCTGTTGCCACTGTGCCAGTCCATCTCTTTGGGGGTCTTCCTGTCTTTCTCTGACCTTCCACTTTACCAAACATGACATTCTTCTCCAGGGACTGGACCCTACTGATAATATGTCTGAAGTATAAGATACAAAGTCTGGGCATTCTGGCTGTACTTCTTCCAACACAGATTGGTTTGTTCTTTTGGCAGTCCATGGTACTTTTAATATTCTCCTCCAGCACTATAACTCAAATGCATCAATTCTTCTATGATCTTTATTCACTGTCCAGCTTTCATGTGCATATGAGGCTATTGACAATACCATGGCTTGGGTCAGGTAAACCTTAGTCCTCAAACTGACATCTTTACTCTTGAACACTTTAAAGAGTTCTTGTGTAGCTGATGTGCCCAATGCAATATGTTGCTTGATTTCTTGAGTTTTGCTTCCATGAGTATTGATGGTTGATCTGAAAAAAATGAAGTCTTTGACAACAACTTCAATCTTTTCTCCAAAGAATGTTGTCTATTGGTCCAGTGGTAAAGATTTTTGTTTTCTTTACATTGAGATGTAACCCATACTGTGGTCTTTTATCTTCATTGGTATTTTAAGTCCTCTTCACTTTCAACAAGCAAGGCTGTATCATCTGCATATTGCAGGTTGTTTATGAGTCCTGAAATTCTGATGACGTCTTTTTCTTCATATAATCCAATTTCTCAGACAATTTGCTCAGCATACAGATTGAATTAAGTACATTCTGAATTTCTTCAGAATGCAATCTTTCCTAATTTTAAACCATTCAGTGTTCCCTTATTCTCCTTGAATAACTGCCTCTTCGTCTATGTACAGGTTCTTCATGAGCACAATTAAGTGTTCCAGAATACTTATACTTCACAATGTTGTCCAAGCTTGTCCTGATCCACACAATCGAAAGCTTTTTGCATAGTCAATAAAGCGCAAGCAAAATCTTTCTGGTATGCTCTGATTTCAGCCAAGATCCATCTGACAGCAGCAATGATGTCTTTCATTCCATTCCACGTCCTCTTCTGAATCTGGCTTGAACCTCTAGAAGTTCTCTGTCAATGTGTCATTACTGCACAGTTTTACTGCATGTGATATTAATAACATTGTCTGATAATTTTCACATTCCATTGGGTCACCTCTTTTTGGAATGGACACAAATATTGATGTCTTCCAGTTTCTTGGCATAGATGAGTGCCGCTTCACTTTCTTGAAAGATTTCAATTTTTATTCCATTAATTCTCAGTATCTTGTTCTTTGCCAATTCCTTCAGTGCACCTTGGACTTCTTCCTTTAAAATCATTGACTCTTGATTATATGCTACCTCTTGAAATGGTTGAACATTGACCATTTCTGTTTGGTACAGTGTGTATTTCTTTCATCTTCCTTAGATACTTTCTACATCATTCAATATTTTATGCATAGAATTCATCAATATTGCAAATCGTGGCTGGAATTTTTTCTTCAGTTCCCCTAGCTTGAGAAATGCTGTGCGTGTTCTTCCTTTTTGGTGTTTTAACTCCAAATGTCTTTGCACATTTCATTGTATTTGACTTTGTCTTCTCGACCTGCCTTTTGAAATTTTCTGTTCAGCTTTTACCTCCTCTTTTTTTCCATTTGCTTTAGCATCTCTACGCTGGAGAGCAAGTTTCAGAGCCCTTTTCTGACATCCATTTTGGCCTTTTACACTGACCTTTTGCTTACTTCCTGTATGATGTTCTTGATGTCATCCCACAACTCTTCTGGTCTTCAGCCTTTAGTGTCTAAAGCATCAAATCTATTCTTCAGATGATCTCTAAATTCAGGTAAGATATGTACAAAGTCATATTTTGACTCTTGTGGACTTGTTTTAATTTTCTTCAGCTTCAGCCTGAACTTCCACAGTCTGCCCCTGGTCTTATTTTGGCTGATGATATGGAGATTTTCTTTTCTACATCTGTTATTCCATAGATGTAGTCAATTTGACTTCTGTGTATTCCATCTGGTGAGGTCTATGTGTGTAGTTGTCTTTTATGTTGTTTAAAAAGGTATTTGCAATGAAGAAATAGTTGATTTTGAAAAATTCTATTATGTGATCTCCAGCATCATATTTTTCAACTACTGATTCTTCCGCTTTGTTTCCAACCTTTGTATTCCAATCACCGGTAATTGTCAATACATCTTGATTGCATGTCTAATCGATTTCAGACTGAAGAAGTTGATAGAATTTTTCAATTTCATCATCACTGGCTTTAGTGGTTGGTGTGTAAATTTGAATAATACGGGTATTATAGGGGTATTATAGGCATAGGTCTAACCTGGACCTGCTGAAATGGGTCTTCTTGTTGACCTATTCATTGCAGTTGAGTCAATTCCAACTCCTGGTGACCCCATGGGTATAGAGTAGAACTGCTCCATAGGATTTTCAATGACTATGACTGTTTAGAAGCAGATCACCAGGCCTGTCTTCTAAGGTGCCTCTGGGTGGATTTGAACCACCAACGTTTTGACTAGTAACTGAGTGTTTAACTAGTAATTGACTAGTAATTGAGTGTTGTACCACCCAGGTATCAAACAGCCTAGGCATGTAAATTTTTCAAAATCTTTTTCAGGTAAGGACAATTAACCTAACCTTCCTGGTGGCTGAACATTTATACTCCCCCTAAGATCTTGGCATCACCATCTGCTTAAGTTCTACTGTATTGCTGTAGTTTTCTATTTATAGGATGGAAGATTAAATGAGGAAACCTGGGCAAGGAAGAGGGTGTTGTTGCCATGGAGAACTTTGTAAGAAAAGGGTCTTTGAGATAGAGTTTTCAAGACTCTACTATTTATTCTTACAAGGTGTGGGCTTATAATTTAGCCTTTTAACTCAGGTCTTATCTTTAATTTCTAGTCACAGAACCAGGTAACTATGAAGCAGGAAGCATTTGCTCTTCCTAAGTCTCTCTCCTCTCCCCCAGCGCTTCAGCATGGAAGGCATCTCCAACATTCTGCAAAGCAGCATCCGCCAGACCTTTGGCTCCTCAGGGACCGACAAGCAGGTACGATTGGTCTCCCTGCTTCTTGGGTGCAAGGGAATAGTGATTCACTAAAATTATCCCGGAATTTGGGCAAGGGGAGTCCTAATATTTTCTTCCACTCTTAAGAAAGAACAAAAAGTGTCTTTTCAAAGGTAAACTATATTTATTTATTTATTTTGAGCTTTACTACTCTAGAATGTGGAAAAATGTAAAAATTAATATGAATCATAGACCTACAAATTATTTTCAGAGCAAAATATATTAAAAGGAAGTGCATTTCATGATATATCCTGTTAAAGAGCTTAATCAACTCTTCAACAATGGATCATCAATTGGGCCAATCCCACCAAAACTACCTTTTCAACTGTCCTGCTCTGATTATAACTCATGCTTTGATATCTCCTCGTAGACTCCATTTAGTTTGTAACTAAAGCCTGAGAAGCAGCTGGCATTTTGGGTTGCTAAAGCATAGTGGTTACGAATCGGGCTGTGAACCTTAAGGCCAGCAGTTCGAAACTACCAGCCATTCCGCGAGAGAAATGCTCCCGTAAAGATTTATAGTCTCGGAAACCCTGTACAGGGTCTCTATGGGTCGGAACCAACTCGAAGGCACTTAACAACAACAACAACAATATAGTACTCAAAACTTTTATTGAGTCTTATGTTAAGCGCTGCTCTAGACCATTGGGTACTAAGGTCCCTGCCCTTGTTCAGTGCATAGTCCAATAGAGATGACAGGGGCGTAACTCCGCCCATTTGAGCTTGTGGAATGAGTATCTGTGAAATGTGTATGCATTTCAAGCATGTTTATAGTCGAACCCTAAGTGTCAGAATTCTAGAAATGTAGTGTGGGGAGGGACTTTTGGAAACATCTAACCAAGTCCTGTCATTTAGAGGCCCAGAGAAATTAGGCATTTTTGTCAGTCATACTACTCTTAGCTAAGACAAGTATAAGCCTATCAATTCTTTGTCTAGAGTTGAGAGCTTGCCTAGAGCTTTTCTCACTCACTATCCCAGGGTTTCTTATAATTCTTAGAGGACTCCAGTCTGAAGGAACTCTGGTGGTGCAGTGTTGAAGCACTGGCCTACTAACTGAAAGGTTGATGGTTTACCAGCTGCTTCATGGGAGAATGATGTGGTATGCTTCTTCTATAAAAATTACAGCTTGGAAGCCCTATTCGGCAGTTCCACTCTGTCCTATAGGCTAGCTATGTGTCAGTATCAACCCCATAGTAGTGGGTTCTCACAGCCTGCTATATATGACCTACTGGACCTTATGAGTCCTGGTGTGGCGCTATAGGATAAACGCTGGACTGCTAACCACAAGGCTAGCAATTCAAACCCACCAGTCACTGTCAGAAACCCTATACAAATCAATATGAGTCAGAATTGACTTGATGACACCTAACAACAACTGGACCTCAGGCTCTGGTTTTGTTGCAGAAGTACCTCATGTCCAGCAGAGGGAGTATATACAACATTGAAGACTGGGTGGAATGGAAGTTCTCTGCTTGTAATTTTTGACAAGAGAAAATAGACAACTCATTGTTAAATTGTATTTCACAGGATAAGAAAATATTATTTCTCTTAAAATGTACTCTGATCTCAGTCTGAAGGAGAAAAATCTGACCAAGATTCCTAAATAATCTAAAAGTTTCTAGTAGAAGAAGAATGTAGAAGTTGGAATGTAGAAAAATTTTCCTGGCTACTACTACTTTTTAAGTCTTACTTTTACAAAGCTTTTTCCTGAAGATGGGAAAAGACATGCTGAAATAGTGGTGTGAGAATGTCATGTTTGATGAAATGTGTCTCTTAGAAAAGCAGAATCTTCCTGCAAATCATCAACTAACTGTATCTCAGCCCCAGATACCTTGTCTTGCCTCTCAAGCACTGTGTGGCATGTTTCTCTTGTAGTATCTGAACACAGTCATCCCGTATGAGAAGAAAGCTGCTCCTCCGTCAGTAGAAGATCTACAGATGCTGACAAACAGTGAGTTCCCAGTGAAATTTGCTGTTCATCTTTCTCCCTCCCTGCCTCTCACTTGCACTGGGAGTGCTCCAGACAAAATATGCTCCATATCACCTTGTCACTTCCTTCTTCTATGTTGGGGGAAGATGAAAACACTCTGAAGCACTCCCCAGAGCTGTCTTTTCTTTCCCTTACTCTGGTAAGAGACGAGACTTGCCAAAAAAGAAAAAAACAAGGAGCTGGTGAAAGAGTCAAGCAAGGAAGGGCCAGTACAGGTCTGGGGCGTTTTGTAGTTTGTCTGGCAGTTCTCAAGTTTTAGGAGTTCTCCTTTTCTTGAACTTGCCTACTCTGTGCTTGTGCCCCAGAAGCAGGCAGCTCTTGGCCTATAGGACTGGCTCTAGTTTTGATGAGAGTTCCCCATCTTGGTAATAAGGGTGGATGTAGCTGATTATAAAGAAAACAGACAGGTTTACTTTTCAGGAAATGACTGCCTCCTCCTCTTCTCTCCTTTGGCTCAATTGTCAAATATGAATAAGCCTTCTGACTACGGGAGAAAACAGTATGTAATAAAGGGTCATTTATAGGCAACTTCTCTTTATATACAACAAATATTACTACCCCCAAAGGGCTGGGGGCACTTCGTTCAGCCAGTAGTGCCAACTTGGCTTTTTTAGGATGAGAAAAACCTTAGGCTGAGTGGTGGCCACAGGCTTAGTGAGTCAGGAGCATTCCCATCTCTCTGGTGACCTGGACATTGCAGAGTGACCACACAGAGGCAGCCTGACCCGTTGCCGCACTGCACCTTCAAGGAAGGCAGGTAGGGGAAGGCGAGAGAACTGAGGATCTGCTGCCAAAGCTAACCTTCATGGATGTCCTTTTGGAGAATGAAAATTCTGCCTACATCAGTAGATGTTCAAGACATGATGTCCTTGAGAATCTGCCATTTAAAATTCACTGCAATTTTAAATACTCAAATTTTAAATATACTGTCGTACTCTTAATTCATTTTATACTCCTTATTTGCATAAATATGCACTAATATTTTTCAAGGGGCACAAAGAAATGAACTTACATTTATAGGTGTTTGTGTTTTCACAAGTAGTGAGCATTTGGAAAATAATATAAATAAATAACTATAGAAGTTGACATAGGTAAAGTACTCTTTCATGAACTTAAGAAAAAGGAAGAGCTATATCTGTGGTGCTGTGGTTTAGTGTGCTGGACTGCAAAGTCTGTCTGAATCGCAAGGTCAGCAGTTCAAACTCACAAGCTGCTCCTTGGAAACACTATACAGGGTCGCCGAGTTGGAATTGGCTCGATGGCACTTGACAACAACAACTGATTATTATAGATACACATTTAGCAATTCAGTGTGGAATTCTCTCTATTTAATTAGAAAATGTACTTGCTTCCAGTCTGCATGGATTTGTCTACATTTTCCAAATTCATTAAAATTATAGCTAGAGTGTATCTTTCATTTAGAATTCTTGGAAAATATGGAAAAGTGAAAAAAAAAAATTGTTCCCTAGTATGCTGCTGTAGGCTAAGAGCTGAATTGTTAACTGCAAGGCCAGCAGTTCGAATCACCAGTTATTCCTTGGAAACCCTATACAGGGTCTCTATGATTTGGAAAAGACTTAATGGCACTTAACCACCACCACCGCCACCTCCACCACCGCCACTGTAGTTACTATTTTGTTGTTTTTCTGCCATCAAACTTTCTATCTTTTCTAAATAGTTGGGATGATGTTGTTGTTGTTATGTGCCGCTGAGTCGATTCTGACCTATAGTAACCCTGTACAGGGTTTCCGAGGAGCAGCTGGTGAGCTTGAACTGCCAACCTTGCAGTTCAAATGGCTTTGCAGTCTGGTGCATTAACCCACAGCGCCAGTTGGGATGATAGTGGCTATAAAATATTGTGTCATAATTTTAGTCATATTGTTTAATATTTTGTTAATATATTTTCATGGCCATCTCTTTTATCATGTGGGTATAGCTTACTGCAATGCTTTCTTTCTTTCTTTCTTTCTTTTATTTAATTTAAGGTTTTTATTGTGGATTGAGTGAAAGTTTACAGGGCACATCATCAGTTTCACATTCAACAATTCATATAACTTGTTTCATTA